AATATATTCTGTATATCAGTCATTTGTCAGTTACAGGTTTTACAGCTATCTTCTCTCACCTGTAGTTAACCCTTTTACCCTCTCAACAGATAAAATATTATATACACAAGACCTCTTTGAAGTTTTTAAGGGTAAGGACATTAGTTTGAGGACTAAGTTATTAGTTTGTGCCTGACCTAAGCCATAGTATTTTTAATACTTCATAAGCTTGTGAAAGTTAGACAATGAATAAAGAAACCATAGAGGAATTGAATCTGTCTCATCTTTCTCCCATGGCGCACCTGGTAGATTTGAACTGCTGATCTTGTGGTTACCAGCCCATTGCTGTTGTCTCTGTGCCAATCCATCTCATTGGGAGTCTTCCTTTTTCTCACTGACCCTTCACTTTACCAAGTATAATGTCCTACTCCAAGACTGACTGCTCCTGATAACATATCTGAAGTATGAGAGACAAGGTCTCATCATCCTGGCTTCTAAGGAATATTTTGTTTGTTCTTTGTCCAATACAAATTTGTTTGTTCTTCTGGCAGCCCATGGTACTTTGAATATTCTTCTCCAACACCATAACTCATATGCATCAATTCTTCTAAGGTCTTCCTTATTCCTTGTCTGACTTTCACATGCTTAACAACAACAACAACAAAGGAAGTGATTAAAAATACCATGGCTTGGGTCAGGTGCACCTTGGTCCTCAAACTAATGTCTTTACCCTTGAATACTTTAAAGAGGTCTTGTGTGTATAATATTTTATCTATTGAGAGGGTAAAAGGGTTAACTACAGATGAGAGAAGAGATCTGTAAAACCTGTAACTGATAAATGACTGATATACAGAATATATAAAGAATTCCTCTTAATGAATAAGAAAAAGATGAGACCCCATAAATAGGGGGTTCTAAACACAAAAGAGGATATATTCCAATGACCAGTGAGTTCCACTTCACCAGTCATCAGGAAACTGCAAATTGCAACAACAATGCACATCCATCTTCAGAATAGAGAAAATGAAGAAGACCCGCAAGGTCAAGTGTTGGTGAACGAACAAGTAGACCAACTGGGATGCTCATAGTTTGGTGGTGGGAATGTAAATGGTACAAGCACTTTGGATATCTGTCAGTAGCAACTAAAGGGGAACTTGTAAAGGATTTCATGTTACTTGAATCTACAATCACCCATGGAAGCAGGAATCAAAAAATCATTGGGTAAATCTGCTGCAAAATACCTCTATAAAGTGTTAAGAAGCAAAGATGTCACTTTGAGGACGAAGGTGTGCCTGACTCAAATCATGGGATTTTAGTTACTTCATATGCATGGGAAAGTTGGACGCCTAAGGAATAATTGGTGCCTTTGAATTATGGTGCTGGTGAAGAATATTGCATATACCACGCACTGCCAGAATGAACAACTGTGTCTTGGAAGAAGTACAGCTGGAATACTCAGAAGTGCGAATGGTGAGACTTTGTCTCAGTTACTATGGACATGTTATCAGGAGGGACCAGTTCTTGGAGAAGGACATAGTGCTTTATGAAGTACAGGGTGAGTGAGAATGAAGACCTCAGTGAGGTGGACTGACACAGTTGTTGCAGCAATGGACTCAAACATAATGATTGTGAGGAAGGCATAGGACTGAACAATGTTTCATTCTATTGTACACAGAGTTACTATAAGTTGAATTATGTCCTGGTATGGCACTGTGGGTTAATGTGCCAGACTGTAAAGCCATTTGAACTGCAAGATCGGCAGTTCAAGCTCACCAGCTGCTCCTCGGAAACCCTATAGAGGGTCGCTACGGGTCTGAACCGACTCAACAGCACTTAACAACAACAACAAATCCTAACTTCTATGCCTGTGATTATAATCTGACTTGGGAATCTATCGTCTTTGTTATGTTAATGAGAAAGGATTAATGTAGGGTGTGTTTTAAATCAATCTTCTTTGAGATATAAAAGAAATCAAACAATCAATCAAGAGAAACCGAAATGGAGAAAGAATGATGACAAGCCATATGACGATTGTCAGGAGACAAGGAGCTACCTCTAAAGCCGACAGAGACAGTCGTCCCCTATGGCCAACACCCTGAATTTGGACTTCGAAACTATGAGAAAATATAGTTCTATTTGTTAAAGCCACCTACATGTGGAATTTCTATAGACATGTTATGTTTAACAAAAGATATGTCTAAGAAGATCCTAGCAGTGCTATTCGTAGCCCCAAACTGGAAACCAAATATCTATCTCCAGGGCAACGGATGAATAAAAGATGGTATATTCAAGTAATGTCCAAACTCCTTCAACAGCTTAGATTGAAGGAAGATATTTGAGTAAAAGAAGTCAAACACAATGGGCAAACCTAAGGGATGCTGTTTGAAATTGACGTAAGAGTGGAGTGGGGTTGTGCCTAGGCGAGGAATAGGGGTTGCTTCTGTTATGCTTCATTTCTTAACCTGAGTGGATATCACATAGGTATATTCACTGTGTGAAAATGTGTCCATCGATCCATTAATGATATGTGTGCTTTTCTGCATATATAATTTAATTTAAAAGTTAATTTTTTTTTAAATGATATTTCTTGGGGAAGTTACTCTGCATTCTAGATCCTCAGTAAAATGGATATAAAGAAATGGTTTATAGGAAAGCTATTTGTAATGTATCTAAATCTAAGACAATTATGAAGAGCTACGGACAGGGTATGTACTCAGTAAATGTTAATGAAAATGAAGCCTAAAGGAACTTCCTTTTACTGTGTGTCAGATATGCCTTATTTTGACTTATTCAAAGAACCCATTATCCTGAGTTTTGTTAAGTGTCAGCTAGTCAGTTCCAACTCAAAGCAACCCTATAAAGGGTTTCCAAGAGCTGCTAGTGGGTTGGAACGGCCGACCTTGCATTAGCAGTCCTGTGCGTATCCTCCAGCACCACACCAGGACTCCATCCTGAGTTTACACCTGAGGAAATTGAGGCTCAGAGAGGGAAAGTGGCTTCTGAAAATATCCGTTTAGTCAGGACTGGGCTTCAAATACCTAAACTAGGTCTCAGATCTGCCTGAACCAAACTCTGGACTCTGGGCCATATTCTTTCTGCCCAGTGCCTCACGAAACACCACGCCCCAACACCAGCATCTGCTGGGGTTAAAGTTTCACACAGAATGCCCTTCCTGAAGGTTTTCTTTCTGTCTTCTTTCCCAGCTTCATCTGGTAACACTCCAGACTTCTACTTGTTAAGTGCCATCCAGTCGACCCTGCATAGGGTTTCCGAAGAGCCGCTGGTGAGTTTGAACTGCCGATCTTGCGGTTCAAACCGATCTTGCAGTCCAATTCATTATCCCACAGCGCCACACCGGGGTTCCCGACTGGTCAAATCCCAAACCCTATCCCACATCCAACTACCCCAGTGGTCTGGGCCGTTCCCAGTGGTCTGGGCCGTTCCCAGTGGTCTGGGCCGTTTCCTCAAGTTAGCTGGTGCCCAAAATTTCATTCCACTTTTCTGAAAAGTGGTCCCCAGGCCCCCAAACGGAGTCCCCTTCCGTTCCCGCATCCCCTCCTAGCCGCTCCTGGTAGAGAGGCCCTCTCCAGCCTCCCCTCCTGACCCAGAACCAGCCAGCCTCCAGTCCTCCACACCCCCTCCCGCCCCATCACGTGGCCCGCCCCGCCCCGCCCCCAACCCTCGTGCGGGTCTTCGAGCCCATCCGGGCCCTGAGGGCACGCAAGCGACGGTTGAGAGTTTGGGCAGCTATGGCGGCGAGACAAGAGCGAGAACCGAACCTGACGCGCTTCGTCTATGTGACCCGCTTCGGCTCGCACCGCTGTGGCGGCGTCCTTCAGCTGGGTAGCCGCGGGGCGCGGGGCCGTTGGCGCCCCAGGATCAGGCTCGGGGCTGGCTGCAGCCAGAAGGAGCCGCGGGAAGCTGAGGCGGAGACCCAAGGCGGCGGCGGGGAGCTGGACCCCAGCGCCCGGCTCTCGGTCCCCGCCGCCTCTGCCTCCCAGCAGCAGAGAGCGTCGTCCAGGGCACACAGGGGTTCCAGGCCCGCAGCGGCAGCAGGTGGCGCCCGGCGGGGAGGGGACTGGGAGGAGATCCGGTGGGAAACAAGCCTATACCCACTCCCTACCCCATCAGCTGGACTTTTTAGTGTCATCCTGTCAACACTCTCGCCTGGTGTCAGGCCTGTCTTCCTGTCCTTCAGCTATTTGGCCTCCGGGAGCCTCCTTGTGGGTCCTCTGCCCAGGCCACCTTGCTGACAGCTGCTCCAGGGCAGTGAGTGGGTGCTGTTAGGTGGCCACCGGGCTCAGTCTTGAGGCACAGTGCTGGATCGTATACTGAGGTAGAAAACTAAAGCCATGAATTCATTTCAGGGTGTACCACCGGAGAAAGGGAGGTGATGTGGAAATGAAGAGACCTAAGCCACAGATATGAGAGCAGAGGTCATGGGATGAAGCCATTGAATTCCCCCCAGAATGATGTGGGAGGTGGCTTGGAGAAGATAGAGCCAGATGCTTATCTCCATTACTGGGCTTGGAGAAGATTGAGCCAGATGCTTATCTCCATGACTGGGCTAATTCGGGGGTCAGAGGTTGATTATAACGAACAGGAAGTAGAGGGTGGGGAACGTAGTCCCTGAGTGGTGCACGAGATTAAGTGCTCAGCTACGAACTGTTGACTGTTCAAATCTACCCAGAGGCATCTTGGATAAAAGCCCTGGTGATCTATTTTTAAAAAAAGACCAGCACAGTTCTACTCTGGAACACACGACGTCACTGTGAGTAGGAACCCACTCAACAGTGGCACATTAAAAGATGGGAAGTTAGTTGACCTGTACCTCGAATAGCAGGGATTGGTACAAAGCACAAGATAATACCCATCAGAAGTGGTGCTTAAGAGTGAGGAGACTTCACTACCACTCTAAGCAAACTTATATTTCCTCTCTCCTTTTCTTCAAGTAGGAGGGGGATTTATAGTGTAGGGTCTCATGCAAGGTGCAGGGAAAGTCGAAGCTGTAGATTCAGCCTAGGAGAGATTGGAAGTGGTTACCAACAGAGTTCTCTCTCTCATCCAGCCTGCAGTAGCAAAAGTACATGTGTTCTAAATGATAAAACTTGAAGTTTCAGGTCTGAAGGTATAGCAATGCCCAAGATATCCTTTCTTGGATAAGTCCAATGGAAAGGGTAAGAGGAGTCAGTATCTACCTTCCAGGCCCAAGGCTTTTTTATCCCTGACTTTATCTGAGTCATGACATTTCTCTCGTAAGGGACTTCTGCTGCTCTGAAGAAAATTGTCCTTTATCGTAATTCCCAGTCAGAGAGTTAAGGACAGTTACAACAACCACTGGTAGTGGTGGTGGTGGTGTGCTGTAGAGTCAGTTCCAAGTCATAGCCCTCCTGTATAGGGTTTCTGAGGCTATAAATCTTATGGGAGCAGAAAGCCTCACCTTTCTCATGCTGAACGAGAAAGTTTAGAATGGCTGACCTTGAGGTTATCAGCCCAACTTGTAACTACTACGCTACTAGAGCTCTACTATCACCCCCAAAAATCTTTCCTCCTTTTTGAGGGTCTTCCTTCTACTATGTTTTTTTTTTTTTAAAAACTATTTTATTAAGATGTAATTCAAAATTCACACAATTCATTCATTTAACTTACAAAATCCAGTGGTTTTTCGTATAGAGTTGTGTGACTATCACCACAATCAGTTTTACAACATTTTCTTCATTTTCCTGATCCACCCACTTCCAGTAAGTCAATTCTGACTCATAGTGACCTTATGTAGTGTGTCTGAGGCTGTAAATCTTCACAGGAGCAGAAAGCTTCGTCTTTCTTCTAACGGTTGGTGGATTGGAACTGCTGATCTTGCAGTAAGAGTCCTACATATAACCCAGTACACCCTCAGGGATCCCAAAAGAAAATCCATGTCAACTGTAGCCATTCTCTGCTCTCCTTCACTACCACTCTCATCTCATCCCTAAGAAACCAATAATGTACACATAAAACCCCAAGATTTTGAATATTAATTATATCTATTTTGGACTCCTGGGTGTGGGGCTGTAGGATCAGCACTGGACTTCGAACCACAAGGTAGACAGTTCAAGCCTACCAGCTGCTCCTTGGAAACCCTATATAGGATAGCTCTGAGTCGGAACCTATTTGGCAGTGCTTAACAACAATTTCTGCTTTTATGTTTATTCTTACTTGTGCTTTCTTTTTGAAAAAATACTTTTCTTGAACAGGAAATTTAATTTTTATTGATAAAAGTGCTTAGTGCAATGATTTCTTCTAATCAAAAGTTTAAATAAACTCCATAGATTCTAGTATGTAGTGTTTCACGGTTTCATTCCATTTCATCTTGTAGTCCCCCTTTTATCCTGAAGTTTTTTTGTTGTTATTAAGTGCTATTGAGTTGGTTCCGGCCCATAGCGACCCTGGATAGGGTTTCTGAGGAATGGCTGGCAAGTTTGAACTGCTGACCTTGTGGTTCCAACCAACTTTGCATTAATCCACTACACCACACCAGGACTCTGAAGTTGCTTAATAGATTTTATATATTTCTGAGGGCTTCCTTTATTTATTTATTTTTTTGCTAATGAATGCTAGTTTCATTGATCCTTCTTTTCTTTTTATCCCCTTCCACCAAAACTATGTAATTGGAAGATTGTCCCTTTAAATCATGCTTGCCCCTTTAAACTGAATCCGCCCCATTAAATTGTGTGTCTGGTGCTTTAAATCACGTATTGAAATCCATTTCCTGTATCCTGTGCTCTGATCTGTCTAGTTAGGTTTTAGCATTTTCAGATTTGTTGTTGTTGTTAGGTGCCATCGAGTCAGTACTGACTCATAGCAGCCCTATACACAGCAGAACGAAACACTGCCGGATCCTGGGCCAACCTCACAACTGTTGCCATGCTCGAGTCCTTCGATGCTGCCACTTGACCAATCCATCTCGTTGGGGGTCTTCCTCTTTTTCTTTGACCCTCCACCTTACCAAACATGATATCCTTCTCCAGCGACTGTTCCCTCCTGACAATGTGCTCGAAGTATAGCCATCTTGGCCTCCAAGGAGCACTCAGGCTGCACTTCTTCCAAAGTGGATCTATTGGTTCTTTTGGTGGCCCATAGCACTTTCAATATTCTCCTTCCAACACCATAACTCAAAAGCATCTATTCTTCTACAGTCTTCCTTATTCACTGTCCAACTTTCGCATGCATATGACGTTATTGAGACTCTGAAAATTCAGATTTAGGGTAGATCTAATCTTTTGGTTAATAGTTCCAGTGATCTTCCTTTCCTTCCTTGCAGTTTTTCTCCATCTGCCTTTGAGGGCCACAATGTCTTGCATATAAGATCACAGGTCTGTAATTTTTTTGTTTTGTTTTCTCATTTTGCTTAAAGTCATTTTCAGTTTCAGCATTCTCTGTCTTCAGGTAATACTGAGACTGAGGTTTTGTGCATAGAATTCTTATAATTGTGAAGTAGTTGGGGGTGGAATTTTTGGAATTTGGTTACTATACATTTGCCATTGTCTTCAGCTGCCTTGAAGTCCTCCATTGAAATATGTTGAGCAAGAGAAGTGACAGGATCAGATTGAGTTATGAGTTATCTATGCGGTAAGGGGAGATTAGATTAAAGGCAAATAACTCAATTGAAAATTATATAAACATTCTGCTTGGTATCCTTTTTGAATTGAATTTACTTTTGTCTTGCAGGATTTTTAATCTTAGAAACTTAGAAATCAATAGATACACCCAAGCTTGTCACGCATAAACTCGTTTAGTTTATTACAAGGTAGTCATAGCCAGGTATGCACGCAAGATCTCATGACATTGATTTTAGCACCGGAGAATCACAATGAGCAATTATAACATTATAGTTCAGTGGCTAGAGTCTCAAACTTTAGACTTCACATTTTCACCTTCTAAGAGAGGCTCTCAGGAGAGATTAGCCATGACTTGCACTGGGTGGCAGTCCCTTATAGCGAGTGTCTGAAGTCAGTGGTGGAGGGCAGAGTTTCTCCATACTCTGGGTCCTCAGAGAAGAAAGACAGATTTTTTTTTTTTTTTCCCTTTTGCCTTCTTCTGTAGCATGAGCCAAAATTCAATGTATGTTTGTGGATTTAGTGAGTCCTGATGTGGTGCTGTGGGTTAATGCGCTAAGCTGCAAAGTTGGTTTGAACAGCAAGGTTGGTGGTTCACGCTCACCAGCCACTCCTTGGAAACCCTATATAGGGTCGCTATGGGTCAGAACCAACTTGACGGCACTTAAAAACAACAAATGTGAATTTTAAGTTTTGACCTGACTTTATAAGAGCTAGGTGATGCCAAGTTTAACAGAGACTACTATGTCACCCTTTTCCAAGGTTAAAGATTCAAGAATTTTTACAACTTACCTCGTGTCTTAAGTTAACTTTGTTGTTAAGTGCCTTCGAGTTGTTTCTGACTCATAGCTACCCTGTATAGAGTTTCCTAGGAGTGACTGGTGAGTTTGAACCACTGACCTTGTGATTCAGATTGACCATGTGGTCCATCCAGTGCATTATCCCACAGCGCCACATCAGACTCCCAAGCCCACTTTACAGAGAGAAAATTTTAAGACAAAATTCCTTTATCATATATATGTAACAATTCAACTTACAGAAGTTTATCATATAATTTAAGTGACAAGCCAATTTAGGGAGGCTTAACTCTCTCTCTCTCTCTATATATATATATAGATAGATAGATAGATAGATAGATAGATAGATAGCTCTGTGTGTGTGTGTGTGTGTGTGTGTGCATGCTGCTGGTGTGGTGCTATCGGATAAGCACTGGATTGCTAATCAAAAGGTCAGCAGTTCAAACCCACCAGATGCTCCTTGGAAACTCTATACAGGGTTGCTATGAGTCAGAACTGATTTCACAGCACTTAACAACCACAACAACTATCTATATAAGTGGAGGAAAGATTGAAGTTGTCAAATACTTCATCTTTCTTGGATCCACAATCAACATTCATGGAAGCAGCAGTCAACAGCCCAAATGACATATTGTATTAGGCTGCACAAGCCCTCTGTAAAAGT